TGAGCCGCTCTGACTCCAAAAGGGAATGAATGTAGCCGAAAGCAGGAGGCGGAGAGGGAGGAGGAGGGGGGGGGGGGGGGGGGGGGGGGGGGGGGCGGCTATCAGTGGGAGCAATCGCAGACTGGAGGAGGGAATGTTTATCCAACGCGGCGATCCTATTTTCCATGCTCCTCAAAATACTAAAACCGGCCTTATAAGGCCACAGACGGGGAAGTTCCAGCCAAGCGGCGTCAGAGGGCTCGCCAAAAAAAAAACAAAAAATACAACTTGAAATCCATGTCCTCCCTGGTTTTTTTTTTCTGTGTGTGTCTTCTCTCGGCAGATACTCGGCGCTGGATCGGTGATGTCAGAGTCTGGAATCGGCTTCTACCAAGCTGAGGTAGCTTCTTTTGGCCGTTTTTCTGGACCTTAGACGGAGGAACCCGGTTGTTTATGGATGGTGACTACCTGGTGTAACGTCAGCGTTGGGTTTAGAGGAGCACAACCAGCCGGCCCTGCTGCAGACACAGTCTGATCCACACACACACACACACACACACACACTCACACACACACTAAACCCCGTCAGAGGGACAGGAAGTTGGTGTTACGGGGCTCTGCTGGGAGTTGAAGTCATCTCCTGTTTACAAGCCTGACAGAAATGCTTTTGCTTCTTCTCTACAAACGCACAAACCTGGTCAGTGTCCTGACCAGGGGGGTTTGTAGGGACATTTGAATTGTAGGGACATTTGAATGAGGAGGAGTGGTGGTGTAGTGGTTAGCATAGCTGCCTTCCAAGCAGTTGACCTGGGTTCGATTCCCGGCCAAAAAAACAGCTCCTCCCTACCCTGTAAGTCGCTTTGGATAAAAGCGTCTGCCAAATGCATGAACATGAACATGAACATGAATCGGTTGCCCGTGTTTCTCCCTGACCTGCGGCCCTCGGTGCAGTGCTGCATCTCTGGTCAGTTGGTAGTCTGAGATGAAGCACTGTAGCTCGGGACGGAGGGCCAAAAATGCTAAGACGAGGCACCACGTTGGCAGGCATCAGGTGGGTGCGAACGGGCCGAAAACACACACGGATCCCCACTCTTTGACCGTCTGGACCCGAAGGTTCCAGGTTTATTTCACCCTGAACAGAACATAGCAGATATTTTTTTCTCCTCCTCTCTCCCGGGGTCCAGTTTTCCCAGGAATCCCTTGACTTATCCGAAGAGGGGATTCCTGGAAATACTGATCCTGGGGGCGTGGCTTGTCACCATCTCCTTGAAAGGTGTGTAATAAAAAATCGTGGCTGCTTATCTGACATTTGTGATGAACGTTGTGCAAGTAAACCGATGAATAAATAAAACTTTTCAAACCACTCTGCGTGTCGGCAGCTTGAAGTGTTCCCGTTAAGCTAATCTGGACGTTGAGGTTTAAGGTCCAGAAGCAGGTGTTTGCTGTCCAGCTGTGACATCCCACCTGACGATTGAACCAGCAACCCTTTCCTGACTTAATCCTGGTGTTAATCCATGGTGTTGATGGGTGTAGCTCCAGCTCACAGCTGAAAGTTACTAGAACTTTGTAGAAACTCTCAGAACTCTCTTGACAACAGGTAGGTGGAGCCCTTAAGCTATGATGGGTAGTCCAGCATTTTCTTCAAACTCAAACCAGGAGCAGCTGAATCCCCGGCTCTGAATACCTGGTCCCCTACCCCAGACCTGCTTATTCGTAAATGGACTGGGGGGGGCAGTGTTCCACCCATAGAGCGTTGAGCATGTGGCCCAAGAGAGGCCAGTCAAGCTTCTGTCCCTTCAACTAGCCCCTGACTTCCTCCTGAGCTGCAGACACAGACACAACGCTGGATTTATGTTCATGTTTTAGGCTAAAAAAAAATTCATTGGAGGATCTTTTTTTTATATACATTTGTCCTTGGCCTTAATGCTCGGCACCTGACTCTGCATCCTGGTGTCAACCCTGGGTTATCCTTTGCATGTCTAATCAACTAAGCCATGTTCTAGAGGCGGGGGGTGGAGGTTAGTAAAGTGGTGAATGTCCCCGTCTGTCACATGACCGGGATTCGATTCCCCCTATGGGGAGATACACGTGTATATGTTCTACTTTGTAAGTCGCTTTGGATCAAAGCAGGAAGTCCACGCTGCTCTGCTGTGGAAAAGCTTTCGGGCATTTAGAGAACACAGACACACCCCAGAGTTATCACGTGGAAATAAGAATTCAAATAAAACATCCCATCTCCTTTGTGGGTCCACGAAATAAACCCTTATCCTCCAGTCCACCGTACCATGCCTCCATAATGAGTCTCCTGGTCACCAGCGATGATTGGAGTCTGGATCTGTGGTTGGGAGTATCCTGCTGCCCCCCGTGTTCCTACCGGTTCCCCAACCGGTCCAAGCAGATGCCATGGTTCTGCTCAAGGTTTCTCCCTCTTTAAAGGAAGTTTTTCCTTGCCTGTGTCGCCTAGTGCTTCTGTAAATAACTTCAGAGTCTGACCTGCTCTTTTTGGACGGTGCTGTGAGATAACTTCTTATGCCGTCTTACGCTGTTGAATCGGTGGAAGAACCCAGAACCTGCCTCTCGTGGTGCGTCCTGCCCTGTCCGGGTGCTTGTAAGCACTTGTTAAGTGTGGCCACTCGGGTTTTTGACTGAGGGCAGTAGGGTTTCCAGCTGTGGTTCCACCACTGGGCTGATGTGCTCCAGGACCAGCCTGTTCGTGGGGGCGTTTGGCCCCATCGCTGGTGCAGCCGGGCCTACTTACGTCAGCTACGAGGAGTGAAGCCAACACTTCTGCTTCTCAGTCCTTATATAGTCTTTAATTCTTACCAGCGGCTGAGTTTGGTGATGCTGAGCCGTCCAGACACTTCAGGATCATCATCATCAAGTGTTTCTGCGACAGTGGGATTAGAGACACTTCCTGTGACACCAACAGTGTGATATCACTCTTCTTTAGGCGATGCGATAGCTTTCAATGTATATTCATCTGGATTCATCCATTATCGTAACTGCTTATTCCCTAACGGGGATTAGCGGGGGGGCTGCGGGTTTTTGGACGGTGGGAGGAAACCGGAGAACCCACAGACACAGGGAGAACACGCAGACTCCACACAGAAAGGTCCTGGTTCCCCCGGGAACTCAAACCCAGAACCTTCTTGCTGTGAGACGATGGTGCTAACCAACACACCACCATCCATTACCATAACTGCTTATTCCTTAATGGGGTCGCAGGGGGACTGGAGCCTATCCCAGTAGCCAATGGGCGAGAGGTGGGGTCACCCTGGACGGTCCACCAGTCCATCACATGGCCACACAGAGACACACAAGGACCAACAACCACACACTCAGACTCACTCCTAAGGGCAGTTTGAATGTAGGAATAGCTTGACCAAATTCAGAGCAGCTCTACCTTCATTAGACTGTTAAGTCCAACAACAAATTAAACTTTTCATTCATCTCGGTAACATCCTCCCACATTCTTGCCCTCACTAACTACTCGTTGGTCCGAGTATGTCTGGATCTGTGCGGCAGGTGCCGGCTTTAGTGAGAGGGTGTGAAACATCATGACCCATCAGCGTTGTATCCTGTCCACCCCTTCGTCCAGGTGTGTGTGCTCAACTAGCGAGTTGGGTACTACGTCTCGGCAGTTAGATAATTTGTCCAGTTCAACTACATGACCAGAAAACAGTCTGGACCTCAATCTGAATGGCCGTAAAATAGTTCCAGGACAAAGCTCTCACCAGCAGGGCTGATCTTGCAGAGAAGGATGGAATCTGATTGTCTACTTCCTGAATCTGAAAATGTTTCTGAACCAAAGATTTCTAATCGTTAGACAAAAGGCAGAAAAAACTATTAGAGATATACCGAGATCTATTTGGCTAAATGTTAAATTTTATATCGACTACTTCAATCAGGAAAAAAAAACATTTGCTTTAAGCTGCTAAGTAAGATCTACAACGGCAGAATGCAACAGCTTGAAAATTAACGTAAACTCTTTTGAACAAAAGGTGAATGAAGACTGTGAGTTTCTTCCAGATGGAGTTTTCCTTCTTCAGTTGAAGTAGCAGGGCTCTCAGTACGAGGTCCAATAGTTAACCATAGTTATACTCCCTGTCAAACTTTTTTTTCTTGGTTTCTATCAGTTACAACAGACGAAATGCAAAGAGGTTTAGACGATCCCTCCCACAGGTGACCACTAAACAACTGGTCAGAGGTGCAGAAATGGAAAGCCGTCCTCAGTCTGGGCTAAAAGGTCCAGCTGCCCGCACCGTCTGTGTCCGCTCTGTCCTGGCGGTCAAACATCCCTGCGCCTGCAGAGCGTCCCCGGTATTTGGTTCCGTTTGTCCTCCGTACCACATAGGGATTATGTACCCGCCTCTGGGCAAAAACCTGCCCCCTCCTCGCCTGCTGTGGTCTGACCGGCCGACCTCAGCTGCGCGTGGACGTCCGACGGCCCGACTGGACGGCACCCCCGGTCCTGACCGCCGCCTCCCCGCGGTCGCCACGGCCGGACGACAAAAACTTGTGCTTGAAGGTCCAAGTTATGTAACATTTTTATTGGCATTTTTGGAGAAGACCATAGGTTTTACAACAGATTTAGTTATTCAGAGCTCTAGACAGAGGGAGAGAGCAAAAGTATCATTCTACCATTGGCTCCTTATATTATCAACAGGCAGACTCTTAATCACCATAAGAAAACAAAAACAAGAAAAAGTCCAACAGTTATGTTTTTGTAAATAAAACATCCAGGGCTGAATCATTTAAGAAACAAAAAAGAGTAGAGTTTTAAGTTTACATGTTTTACCATTTACTTGGTAAAGAGGAGTGAAATTATTCAGGAGTGAGGAGGGAAAGATGATCCGAGATGTTTCCACTGGGAGGGAAGAACTAAAGCTCAGCTGGCAATCTTAGCCAGTCTCCAAAGAAACCTCAAAAAGAAAAAAGTCAATGCAGAGGACACAAACAGATGGGGAGGGGGGGGGGGGGTGCCCGGGGGGGAGGAAGGCAGCTAAAGCCTTCACATCCTAATAAAAAAAAAAAAAAAAGAGTCCCCAGTGGAATTTTATGATTTATACACATATGAAAATATAGATAACACAACTGACAAAGGCTTGTGTAAATCTATATATTTCCATTACATAGATACTTATGAAGGAAGGAAAGACGCAGACTTTCTGTTTGTCGCTTGTCCAGGAAGAGAGACTCTGTCCTGGTCTCCAACGGCTCCGGTCAGGGTTTGGATCAGAACCCTGCAGACACAAACAGACGGGCCTGGTTACGACACGCGCTGCCAGGCTGGGGTCTCGCGGCGGGGAGCGGGAGCGGAGGTCAGAGGTCAGGGGGAGGGAAAGCGCTGGCGGAGGAACGCCCACACCGAGCGGCCTGAGGGGGTCAAGCCTGGGAGGGCCGCCCCGGGCCGGTTCAACACGTTTAACGGGATGTGATCCCACCACCTCTAACCGAAACCTTCACCTGCACAAGCCCTCAAACCAAACGTGTGCACGTAGAGTCTAAAGCACGCCCACAGATTAAAACACACACACACACACACACAGCTACTCGTCAGTATAGTGGTGAGTATCCCCCGACTGTCACACGGGGTCCGGGGTTCGAATCCCCTACGGGAAGATACACATGTACATATTCTGCTTTGTAAGTCACTTTGGATAAAAGCATCTGCTTAATGCGTAAACATACGCTCTTCACTGACTACCCAGATGTACAGCATGTACAGAAACAAAAGAAAACACGCGTTCATGTGAAACTTTTAAATCCCCCCCCCTTGAGTCCTGTTGGTTTCCTAACATATGCTTCCTTTTACCTTCCAGGCAAACGCAAAGTGATCATTGTGTCACTATGTCTAAACATGGTTCCCATTTATTTATAGATATTAATATTAAATAATCAGATTATGTTTTAATAACTCTCACTTTTTATTTACCTTTATTTTGTTGCATAGTAAATAACCTTTATTTTTGCCTCCACTGTGCTTTTTCCCCTTCTTTCTGCTTTGACGTGTAAATATTCCCACTGTGGGATAGAGAAAATATTCCATCTATCCTGTAAGCTCCGCCAGGTCAGATGAAACAAAGGGGCTCATCTGCATGTCCCTCATTAAGACTGTTCGAATGAGGCCACGGCTGAAGTTCAGGCGCAGATACTCTCTCTCTGGGATGGGGCTTTTCCGTCAGCCCTACTTGCCTTTCCTCGGTAGGACTTGCAGATGCGTCTCTAGTAGATATGACCTGCAGCTCTGGTTTTCCAGGAGTGAAGACTATCCGTTTTATTTCTCAGCGATCTTCAGGAACTCCTAAAGACCCTTCTCTTCATAGAGCATCTCCTATCCTAACTCCTCCCCATACCTCTATACCCCCTCTACTACTCTTTCCGTGCTTTCCTCTCTTCGCTGTCACCATCAACTCCGACTCCTCTAGAGAACTTATTGTCAGATTGATGATAACTGTAATATTGTGTCTACTTTGTAAGTCGCTTTGAATAAAAGCGTCTGCTAAATGCAGAAACAAATATCAAAAGTGCAAACGAGCCTTTAAAGCCGCAAAAAAAAACTAAACCTAACAATTTTCACCGTTAAGTACAAGCACGGGCGTCCGACTTTCCTTCTACTTCAGGACTGTGGGGGATTTGTGCTTGGCTTTCGCATGTGAATGGAGAACGTTCAAAGGCTGCTCTGACACACTGGCCTCATTACGGAGACTGATGACGGCCATCTTTGAAACGCGCAGCTTGGGGTCTTTGTTCGAAAAGCCAGACCTGGACAGTTTAAAGCCATTTTTTGTTCCGTCTTAAAAATACCGGGTGGTGCTACATGCCAGTGACATGCTTACGAAGACTGAAAGTGAACTTTTAAGGTTTCAAACTGTTTGGCCATTAGACCAAATGGCGGTGACTGACTGGCTGATGACGGTGCCCGTTTGTCCCTGACAAAACATAACGCTGAATGTGGTTAAGAGCAGAGCAGGCATTTCATCTTCCCTCCACAAGCAACAACTTTCCCGGGCTCTGGGAAAACGCTGCGTCGGGCAGAGGGAGTGGAGAGCGCTGCTTTAGAGTAGGACGTCCGTTTCCCTCCTGGACACGCAGCTTCCAAGGCTGAGCATCAGAAAGGACATGATAAGGACGCTGGGCAACCTGGGTGGGTTCTGTCCATGGGTGGCTGCATCATCTAGGTGTTGGTGGAGTTTGCTTCTTTGGCGAGCGTGCACCAGGCTCTGGTGTGGTCCTCACAAACTTTGCTGGTGGTCACTGGTTCTTGTTCTGGGACATGCTGGCTAACTCGTGTCCACTAGCCACAACGTACTTAAACTTTAGGGCTCTTTCTCTAATAGACTTGTGTATGTCGACTATGAAAGCGGTCTCATTTATTGACCAGCTACTGGGATCGTGTCAATCTTATTTTGCCACATCTTTGGACTGGTTTCAGAGAGTGGTTAAGGCTCAGCTATCATCTTAGCCCAGACGTGCGCTAACACCTTTAATCTCTCATAGAAACTATCACTGAAATATTAATTGCTGTTAAAATTGGTATTTTACAACAGATATTACATAGCATATTTAGACAAAGAAAGCCAGGTAAAAAGTATTTTCATGTAAAGTGAAATAAGAGTTGTTTTTTCAAAAATGAATGTTTTCGTAAGAAAAAGCTAATTGATTCCTACTGAAAGGGATAAGAAAATTACACCTTGGCACCCACGCATAGTGGAATTGAATCCTGTTAAAACATGACATTAAACAGCTAACACAGAGTCTGTGGCCTCGCTGTGGCTACAAGGCCTGGTTCCAGTAGCTTCCTGTAGTCACTTGTGTAAGCTTCCACCTGTCTTCCATCTGAGCATTAAGCATGTTAAATGTACAGAGACATCCAGATGTTCCTCCACTACAAATAAATGTAATGTGACTTTAGACCAGACGTCACAGCAGCTTCTGCAGGGAGTAACCTTCCAAACCCAACTCGAGGATGTTTCTCATCTGTCCATTTTAAGATCATTCAATAATGAACTCGTGACACAATGCCATCTCCCAGCTGGACATCCCGGCTTCGTTAGACGTACCTTAAGATGAACCAGTCGTCCTGAACAGCTGGAATTCTTTGGGAATATCATGAACGTATTAAAAACAGTACAATCAGGTACACCATAAGTGTGACCTCTGACTGAGATCCTGGCTCTTTGCTGGTCATTTTAAACCAAGGTCTTTGCTGAGGAAAGCTTTCTTAAGGGCTCAGGTTGGCTTTTCTAGATAAATGACACATTTGAACTTATTACATTATATCCTAGCCTTGTATGGACCCAAAAACTCTGTTTAAGCCTCCAGCCGATCCAAAATGCTGCAGCCAGAGTTCTGCTGAGACCCTGAAGCAGACATTATGTTTCTCCAGGTTGAGCTTCTCTTCACTGGCTCCCTGTTAACTTCAGGACAGAGCCTAAAGTTCTGCTCCTCGCATCTACAGCTCTGAAGGAGCAGCTCCATCATCTCTAAAGAGCTAAACATTGGATATTTCCCCAGCAGAGACCTATGAAGTAATATGAATCGCAAAGCCAGTATGTTCAGCCATTATCTTTTGTAGTTTCTTGTGCAAAAAGAAACCTACAAACATCCGTCAAATCTGACGATTTCAGAGTTATTGTCAGGGTTTATGTGTGAAATGAGTACTATATATTACCATCAGGATATAGATGTCATTCAGTCACACCTCCAACAGCTTCAACAGTGTCATTAACATCGTATGAACGCAAGAGTGTGGAGGGAAAATGAATCGGAAAGAAAGCGAAGTAGAATCAGAGGGGTTTTCATTAGCAGCAACACAATGTGAGTGTGGAGAGAGCCCATTGTCCAGCCCCGACAGAGGAACAGAATAGCATGGCAGCAAAGTTAGTAGTCAAATTCCCCAAGGACGTCTTTGCTTCTGCAAGACAGACCAATTGTTTTTTTGTTTTTTTCTGTTTTAATTTTGGTCTATTCTGGATTTTCTGATGTTTTGTTTAAGGTGCCTCCTTAAACTAATGCCACTTGGACTCATCGTTCTGGCAATAAGGGATTTCCAAATTCATGCTCTTATTGCTAATTTAAGTATTTGTAAAGGGGCACTGGGGTATGGGTCCGGACATGAAGCCCTAACTAATCATCCTAGATACGAGACTGAATGAATATATGAGCAATTGGTGTCTGTAAAAAACGTCACTTGGCTGTTTGCTACTAACCTTTCATGTTAGGCTTGGGTTTGTCAGTTTGCTTGCCTGTGGGGGTTTGTGCCTGCTGGCCCTGGCCCCCTGAGGAGGCCCCCTGCTGGGCTTTCTGTTTCAGCATGGTCCAGTCAAATGTGTAGTCATACTGGTGGTTCAGAGTCCTACAACACACAAAAAAACAGCAGCAAAATTAGGTGCACATCCCCAATATTTGTCGAAGCATGAGGGGTAGCGTAGAGTCAAAAAGATCTAACTTCAAAAAACAAGTCAATGTCAAAGTACAGCATTTGAGGTTTGGGAGCTTGGGTCCTGCAGCACAGGAGACAATCTTTTTTGTTTTTTTTAAAACAGATACTTCTTCAGTGAGTGGCTGAAGATAGAGAGGTGAGTTCCTTAAACCCGAACAGCATAAACATGAAATAGATGACCACTAACAGCCCAAAGCTGCCAACATACTCATAGTGACCATCAGCAGTTTGGGATGCTGCGGGTGGACAGCAAAAGACGGTCAAGAACAGAAATACGGATGTAGGTATGCATCTGTAAGACTGCTCTGACTGCACTGAAGATAGAAATGCACCATAATGACCAATCAGCAGCAACTCATGACCCTGGGAAGAATCGAACCTACAGAGATTTGTTGTGCTGCTTTGGTCAGTAAGGACAGCCATCATTTAGTCCAACAGATAGACCTGAGCGGCTGTCTGACTGACCGTCCAATTGAAAAGTTTTTCTATGAGATTGAAACTTGCCGTTGCCTCTGCGCTTACCTGAAAAGAATGCGAAACAGCTGGCGCAGGTACATGTAGTCTGGAGCCTCTTCGAAGCGCAAGCCACGGCAGTAGTTCAGATACATGGCAAACTCTGCTGGGAAACCCTGGAGATGGACGTGGGTCAGGTTAGAGAAGTGGAACGTGTGTCAAACCTGACGCTGGACATGTTCCAATCCATTTACAGCATGAACGACATTTATTTAGAAAAATGGCTGGCGGGTCCATCCTACTGCTTCAGCCTCTGATCTACTGGCCTGTAGGTCAGGCTCTTTCGGCCTCTAAACGGGACATATTGGGAGCGTACGGCTGATGGAGTAGTACGTAGGGGCTCAGTGGGATGGAAACCCTGAATGATCCTCTGTTGGTTGGTGCTTCAGCTGTCTGACTGCTAGCTGTGAGTTGGGGAATAGTGCTAAGACGCCGTGATGAAGTGGGATCAGCTATTGGATGGAGTGCCTGCCCTCTCCACTCCAGACGTTATACCGTCATAGTGGATGTGTTTCCACACAGAGGCGCTCGGGCTCTCCTCTAACATCCTATACCTGCCAGCTACGACAACAAAATCACGTGGGTATTTCATATCATGGATGTTTTATTTCCGTGGCAACTAGGTTGCAAACCAGACAACGTGTATTCAGGCTGTTCCACGTCCCGGTATGTGAAAACTGACTCAGAAGGGACCTTGTAGTAAGTGAAGCATTTGCTTACCTTACAGAGGACCTCAACAGGGGTGGACATTTTCTTTTCTGAGATCTTCTCGTACTTCTGCTTCTTTGTGGCAGCCTGGCCAACACAAAAAACCCAAAGAAGGAGCATATTGTTACGGACGCGTTTCAGACCATTTCACATTAGTGGCTGCAAATGTAACAGAAAGCCATTCAAACTATACAGAGAATTTGGGCTATGTGAAACGTGAAATAAAAATGCCTGAGAATGCACTTTTCAAGGTCCAAACAGAGAAAGAAGAGTGGCACAGACGGCGATGGTGCTTTCATACCTTTAATCCTTGCCATGGCAGGCTGGTTCTGTTGAAATACATCAGCACGTAGCCAAGAGACTCCATGTCGTCACGGCGACTAGAGACGACAACAGCAAGCGTTAATGCGTCAGTGAGAGGGCAACAGAAAGGTCCCCCCACAACAAACTTCCTGTGCTATGGAGCAGCAGGGCTTTGGCCTGTAGCCCTCAGGCCAGCTTAATCCATGTGGTCACTGGGGTTTTGTTTCAGCAGCAGTTACCCCTAAAACTAGCGGGAACATCTTAAAGAGGCGAGTGGCTGAAGCGGGGAAACTTCTAAAAATAAGCGCTGACTTTGGGCCTTCACGTCATATCTCCTCTCATCCTCCACAGACATTTGGCGAAAGAGGATGAAGTTCTGAGAACAGGTGAAGACCTGGCAGTAGAGTCCCCACCAGACAGTCTCATGGAGACACCAGTTCTCACTATGAACTGATATCAAATAAACTTCTCCTAAGTGGTAGTGACATTACCACTCATTTGGACCACTGCAGGAGCTAAGGTCTAAGTGACAGCTGCTTTTGTTCCTTTCTCAGAAAATAAAGAGTGGATTTTAAAGGGGCAAGAAAACCCCAGCGACCTCTTAGAAAGGTGGTGTAACGCTGGGAGACAAACCTCTGTTCGATGCCCAGGTGTGCGTTGATGGAGGCATAGCGCGCCGTTCCGGTCAGATTCTTGTCTTCTCTGTAGGGGATGTGTTGTCGTGTTCGGTTGTCTCTGTACTTCTTCGCCAAACCAAAGTCGATAAGGAACAACTGAGACACGGAGAGAAAAGAGAGGGGCGTGTCAGTCAGCGACTCCGGTCCAGAAAATCAACAACATACACAGAATGAAAAACACGTTCTAAACACCGTATAGATAGCTACAAAGTCAAGTATCATTGCATTAAGAGGATCGTTTGGTGACATCTGTCCCTAAAACAAAAGGTCAACTGTCCATCTCGCCAACACTACACTGGTGCCATTGGAGTTTCCAAACCGCCAGCAACAATGTTAGATGTGTAGTTACTTATAGATGTAGAGTAAGCAGGTGAGCATGGAATGGTGGGCGCTGATCTTTAAACCGAGCTCTATCGTGCACCTCGATTGTCCACATTTGCTTCGGCTTCAGGGCCTTCTAAAGGCCAGCAGCTGCTTTCCTGGACGCGTGACCCTACCACAACTGAAGTCCCCTCATATCCGTGGGTCGTGACCGAATCCACCTTTCTTCTCAGCCGTCTACGGGCAAAGGCGTTGCCACGCGGAGCTGCCGGTGCAAACAAACAAGCAGCCGCACAAACGGGCGTTTGGAGGCCTTTCTCGGAGCGTGTCGGGGTGGACACGACGCACAGTGACCGGCTGAAAGCTCAGCTGATGTCTTCTGCTTCCAAAAGATCCCGCTTTGGCCGGTTATGACACTGCTGCGTTTGAGGCCGTCAGACACACGGATGAGGCAGAGCCATAAGCTCAATGCTGCTCACCACACAACCTCGCAGGCCTTTGCACACCAAGTCATTATTTCTCATCCCGTTCCATCATCTCAATCACACTACGGCTGCTATAGCTACTCGGCTCCAAAGATTTGGTATGCCATTCAAGTTTTTGGAACATCTCTGATGTTCTGTATTTTCCCCCCCACGACGGGTAAACGTTTGATACCATTCTTTCGACCACTCGGAACCACCACGCAAGGCGTCTGACAAACTGCGTCCAATTCCCGGCACAAAGCAGACGCCCAGTAATAAGGCAGGTTACACTGTTCACGACAGTCTGGGATGGGACAGCGAAAAGACCGTCTCCCTCCCCGCCTGACTACCTCAGTGAGGCATAAAAACATCCAGCCATTCTCCTGCCCTACCTCACACCTCCTTCCATTCATATCGATCAGCACATTACAAACCGGCTACTTGCTATGAATGAGCATTCTATGCATGAACGTCTGAGCGGCATGGAAGTAGATTACAGATTTGATGCGTTGTTTTCTTTTTCAATTGCGCAAATGGTACTAAGGTACAGTTAGTATAGATGGTTGAAGATTTGCCTTATTGGAAAATTACTGTTGGCAGTTCTCAGCTGAGCTGTTTAGCTTTGGGCCTGTTGGCTTTCATCTATGTCTATGAGCTGTGTAGCATGTGAATATGGCTCGTTTTTTAGCTTAGCTTTTGAAGCATGAAGCTCAGAGTTAGTCAGCACGAGACAATCTAAATACAGTATTAACACAAGCCTTTGTTGAGCTGAAGGTTTTTGAGTGGTGAAAACATACCACAGTGTGGAATGTTCAAACAAAAGCATACGAGGACCTTAGTTTAGACACAGTTCTGTAGGCCGCCCGCCTTTTCACCAAAGTACCACTTCAGACTAAAAGAGCCAAGTCCAATACCATCCCTGCAACTTAAGACTGCCAAAGAATTAATGAATCATTTTCTTCAGCACTCAGTTTTTTCCCTATAAATAAATCATATCTGGACACTTCAGAGATGCAGTGCACTTTAAGCCAACTCCTCTGACAATTTGTGCAGAACCTCAAGCAGACAGGGCCGACTCATGGCTGGCAAAAGACGGCAGCTTGGCAGTGGATTTCGTTCCCACTTTCATTGGATTCGACTCAACCAGACGGCACACAGATAATCAGAAGGGACGGGAGGGGGGGGTTCATATTAACCAAACGTGTAAGTTGTAAGCCAGCAACAAACCATTTGGCCATTTTAGAAGCCAGGATGGGTTGGTTAACACACTACTGGATTGTCCCACGTGGGATGTGAAGGCCTGGGGACCTTTAGGGGGACAGGAAGCAACACCAAGTGAACCCTACAAGCCAACATATCTGTTTCTGCTCAGACGTCTTTCCTTTTCAAATGAGACGGTCCACCTTGTAACTGTTGAACGGTTGCGTGCATATCTGCTCGGGCTGAGGATAATCAGTCCTCTACTCGAGAAAGGTTCCTGCAGTTCCTGCACAGCACAGTACTGAAAGAGAGAGCTGCAGTCGCCTCTCTGCTTCCCTCTCTCTGGTCTCACGGCAGCTCAAGCCTTTGATGGACTGCTAGCATTGAAACCGCGGCAGCCTTAATTCTTTTGGGGTTCTGGTGCGACAACCATCACCTGATACCGCTTCACAAAACCACAGCTTCTCTTTTCCCTTTCTTTCTGACGCCCACACCATGTGGCACTGCAAATCCTGGATGAAGACAATGGGCTCCATGTGACTGACTATTCAATGTCCTCTGACCAAAGAGGCAGTGGCCATGTGTCTTTAGACCCTGACTGTTCAGCTAAAAGCATAACTAGGTGGGCTCTGAATTGTAGTTAGACTCATCATATCTCCTGAGAATGGGTACAGACCCGTTCCACAATCAAATTCTTAAATTCCATGAACGGCCTACAGGTCATAACATGAACAGTTCGGATTTTGTATGGCCAATTATGAAAGCCCGACCCAAGGCATTAGACCAAGTTTTTAAAAAATGTTCATTTCAATCCCTAATTTCCAGGCAAACAAAGCTGATTTCATATCATTAATGTCAAAGTTAATCACTGCTGGCTAATCATCAGAGCATATAGGAACATATACAAGAAGCCTGCAATGAGCACAGGAACTGGAACCTTATACAGTGGGGATCAAAGCTACACAATGGACACAGCCAGACCTTTCCCGCTGTAACAATGTGCATTCTAGGTGATGGAGTGCATACTTCATGTGTTATGCAAGTGCAAGATGGGTGCTAGTGGACTGATTCACTTCAAACCATTGGAGTTAGGAATGATTGCAAAGCAACAAATGCTGTTGTGAGGCAGCTGGTGTTGTGGTAAAGGTCACACCTGGTTTAATCCTGAGAAAGATGGGTCCTGAGAAGAGCTAACAGCCAAGCTTCTTTTCCTCTTCCCCACTGACGAGTCTAAACACTAGAGCAGACAGTAGAGGGGCAGGGGTCAAAATTACACAGCCTCTATCCACCTTTAGTCAAAATCAACATGAGCACAACAGCATCTTCTGTTTGCACCCACGTGGTTTTTTTATCCTTCATGAGCAACTACCAGTGTCTTACACCACAAGAATAAGCACAGGCTTTGCACATGTGCACCCATACGGGCCGAGACAAACAGTGACAGTGATACAGATATGATCCTTGTGGCCATCAGTCTAGAAGAAACCACGTGACCGTGGTTTTCTTCTGTCAGGACGACCTTAAAGAGATCATCCCTGTACGGAAAGGGTCGGTAAAAATGGAAGATGTGCTTAATATCAAGTCTGACAGGGAAAGGCCTGTGCAGACAGGCAATCCCACGGCCTATGACGGTAGGGGATTGTGGGAGTACATGGAAAACGATCCGGGGTTGACCACACAGAGGGGGAAAATAAATAAATAAATCGGAATTTGTCGTGGTGGTTGGGGTAAATACATTTGATCAGCATTCTTAGAAAACGACTGATATGGGCAAGAGTCAGAAACTAGTGCAATACACAGTTTAACAAAGATGCCATGAAAAAGTGGGTAAGCAGCAGTTATATATATATATATAATAAATACATTTCTTTGACTAAAAGTACATAAAAGAAAACAAAAAGACTGTATTACACAACATTGGCAGTCAAATTACAGACAATACTCAGAAAGCCTGCAAGTTGAACAAATGTATTTCAGTTAGCAAAGCTAAAGACCTTAGGTCTCCCTGGGACCTGACAGCCAGGTTTTTCATGATCGTTCTTGTTCAGCTACTAATAACAAAGGTCATACGCTCACATGAATTGAAAAGAAGCTCTCCACACTTCCAGCTTACGAGTTTTTGTTCAACTTTAAGGTTCTTTGCCCCAGTCTGGATAAGTGCTCATTCTACTGAATTACAACAACAAGCCGACTTCTGGTTTACGTTCTGCAAACGGCATGCATTCTGTGGCTCTGAGCAGAGTCGGGCCTATTACTACTGACCCTTCCACGTCTTAGCTGAAGGTCCTGGCAGTAATTGCTGTAAGGACAGGGGACACTTTGTGGGTCAGAAAAAAAAAAAGAACAAGATGTCTCTGGGAGACTATTTTCAGCTTTTTAACAAAGTACTGTTACAGGCTAGATAGTGCATTTCACTTTCTTCCTTAAAAAAAAGTATTTCTTTTCTTTTAAATCAATGGTCAAAAACGTTGAGAAATGCAGACTGACAGTTACCTCAGGTTCTGGTGTAAGGTTCCTCGTGTGGAGCTTTCAGGGCCAGGATCGGGGACCAGGAGGTTTCTGGCAGCCGAGCTTTGTTCTTAAAAGACTAGAACGAGCAGCTTTTCTGCACCTCCGGTCACTACAAGCTACAATGTTCCCATTTTACCAGGTGACAGCGGGTGTGAATGCACTGCAAAGTGCGATCAAAGACAAATGTTAGGCCACATACAAGTTGCTTGGGAATAACGGGCTCACTATAGCGGCTTGTTGGTCACAAATGTGTCCTTGTAACTAAGCTTGTTAGTGGAGGATTCCAGCGGGGGGGCACCACGTTGGCATCGTCCCGAGTCAAATTCTCCAAAAGCTTCCTCCGTCCTTGAACGCTTTTTTAAAATGGTACTGACCTCTTGGCTCTTTAAGCATATTTGTCTAGGTGCCATGGCAAAGGCGGTCTAAAATCAGGGTTATGGCAGCCTCTCTACAGGCGTGTCTTGTAAACTTCTCACCATTTTCGCATGCAGCCGCTCCAGCGATCTGACAAATGGTCAAATCTGGCTGGAGACAGCCACCCACTGCATATTGGGTTTACCGGCTACATGTGTAAACCAGCACCTGCTCTGAACACACAAATCAAACGAGGAAATCCGACAGCCCAAATAGGTCAGAAGTGGTTCCACAAAATCCAACACCAAATGCCCTTCGATTGTAAGCGCAGTCGGAGTTGTTCAGCTCCTTCCTGACTAGCTCTGTGCTTTTTTTTTTTTTTGTAAAATAGTAAAGAAAATATTCTTTGGGGCTGAAATTCTTTTATTGAATAAATAATAAAAGAATAAAGTAATACCCTCATTTGCTGGGTTGCTTTTGTTCTTTGACCAATGTTCAGTTACGGCTCATTTCGTGCACCAGTAAAAAAAAAAAACATACCTATTCTTGAATTTTGAAAAAAAAAAAAATTTGGTTTATCACTAAAGAAGGGTTCAGTGAATGCGCGTATACAACTGGAGGGTTCGGCACCTTAAAGAAGACCAAGGACCGCTGCACTAAAGAGTATTTCTGCATTTCCACTAGGGGCCGGGCCCACTAAACAGATACAACTTCAGCAGCCACTCAGCTGGGGTTCACCTGGGGCTGAGAAGGACCGCCAACAGCAGACCACCTGGTGCTGATCGCTCAGGGAGTCACATGATTAGAGCATAAAACTGTTTGTGTAGAGTTTCGAGCAGAATGAAATGAAAATGTCCTGCTTTCTGGGTTTGTAGTGGTGTTTACCTCCAGCATTTAGTATGCTCCTTACTGTAAAGCTGCCATCAAGCCTCATTTTAATGGCCCCTGTAGCTATTGCGGTATCCTAGTGGTGTTCAATTTCTTAGGAAAACACACTTGATGCCCCAAACAAAAGCAAGCAGTGACAGACATCAATAGCCATTACTGACAGCTGGTACACTTCTGGCTTCAGAAGGTACTCCACATATCTTCTGCTATAGATCTTCCGTTACAGTGTCACTGCCGTGGACATCGTTTGTTGTTGGGAAACGTTGGAAACATCTGACTGAACACGGATCGTTGTTTTATCAGAATTAAGGACAGAATGAGCGACAATCCATCAGTTTCCTACGACCCTCGGAGCCAGTTTGGGGTGAAGGACGCGGCTAATATTGGGTAAGTGGACTGGTCACCGGTCCAATGCGGGGAAAACGCTGAATGAAAAGCATCGAGTCACTAAAAGACTGAGATTCTTCTCGTCGTGCCATGCAGGTCTCCAGAAGAACGCACCTTCACCTGAGCCTGCATATTCACAACGACACAGGCCGTTTAAAAACACCTCAATGTAGCACCAAATAGGTCTACTCAGACCAGACTAAGGATGTCCCAATACACCTTTTTGCACTTCCGATCCGATCCCGGCCTATCAGAGCAATTATTAAAGTTTAAAGTTATCTGGTCAACTTACTTGGTTGTCAGACTCCTGTTGAACGGGGATTTACTCTTATAACAACTTATTGGTTAGGACACATACCTTTGGGTTAGGAGATGCTAATGCTCGTGTGGGATCGGACTTAAAAAAAAAAGACTAGATCGGGAGTCTGGATCGGTATTTTCTTATGCCGGTCAATAGACTTTTTTTTTTGCAAATATCGGCGGCCGATCCGATCCAAATATCGGATCGGGACAAGCCTAGCTCAGAGCCTTTACATTTGTCCACTACGACATACACCACCAGTTGAGCTGGGACATGTTTTCGTCCATTTGGACTGCTGTATTATATGTAATCCAAAAAATATCTGTTTTTTGGATTTGCATCTTTTGAGGATTTGGAGATTCCTTAAATTATGTTTTTACCACAGCAAGAGTTAGAGATGCTTTACGTTTCAGCTGGAGTTTAATTTGATACTTGACATTTCATCTTTGGAATCTGCTCAGAAGCTGCTTGTGTGGTTGGTTACACATTAGAAAAGAAAAGATTTAGAGAACTTTTGGGGTTTAATGAAAAAGTATACTCAATGTGAGGAGAAATACCTCTTGGGGTGTATTAATCAGAAGCTTGTTTTAACCAGCCATGCATTTTTATGTGCTTTCTTCTAAAAAAAAAACATTTTTTGCAGAAACTAAATCTCACAGAAGCAGCACAAAAACCCGATAGGTTGGAGGCAAGAGGGCAGACTGGCTGTGGATTTTGAAAGCTGAGTGCCATTAACAGGAGAGGTATTGACTACAATTCAGCTCCTCGATTGGAAAATATTGCTCACTAGGAGCTGGAGTTAATACACAGAGTTCCGAAAAAAAAAAAGTACCAAGCCCAGTGACCACGTAAATCCTTACAGTGTCCAGTCGCCTCCGGAACTTGAAAGTCAGTACAGGACTGCAGAAGTCCTGCGGAAAGTCAGGCCAATGGAAACAGTCGAAATGCAGGAAGCCCCCGCACTTTTACCGCCCGGTTTAACAGCTGGTTCTGAGGAGAGGCTTAGCCGGGAGGTGGATAAGGAGGCCATCAAGTTAAGGACAACTTGTCATCCGTCAACTATAAATGATACGTGAGGGTGCTAGCTGGGTTTAGCACAGATGAAATAAATCCCTTTGTGTGAGCATCAGGTTTGGAAATGATTGCAGCAGATGAAAAGAGATGTTGTAATATAAATAAAAAAAACAGTGGAAAATGGTGTCAGTGAGAAAGTGTTCATACAGCCAAAGCCATCACAAATAAGAGTACTTATTGTCGGTTGCTTTTCTAATAAAAGAATGCCAATACCAAACAGAGGCTGAGTCAGACTTGTAGAATGTGATCAACCTTTTTACAAAGACCAGGGCAGAGAGGACATCACAGAGCGGAGGGGGTGGGGTGGGGGGATGGGTTAAAGTGTTAGCAGCATTTCAGGGATCACTGGTTAAGAAAACCACTGAAAGCCAAAAACCCTAATGAACTGGGGTAGGTTTCAAACCAGATTCATGTTGAAAGGAAATGTTCAAAGGGGCTAATTTATGGAGCTGAAGGGTCCAGCTGCAAATCGAGAAGGAGTTCAGACTTTTATCCACTTCAACTCCAGCTGGCTGACAAAGACGCTACAAGGAAAGTTCATTAACTCAGAAAAACTAGGGCTGCACAGTTGAAACAATATCCTATCCTTCAAAAATCAGTAAGAATGCAGTATGGTAGGGTGTAGACTTCTGTCATGGCAGACATCCGGATGGGAAAGTAGTAAAAGCACAGGTGCATAGGCCAGGGCCGGGTTCCACCACAGAGCAGAGGGGAATGCTGCTCCTGCTAGGCCCACCTGAGCAACACACCGAGTACGTGTGGATTTTTAACTCCGTTTTCAACACGACTTGCCGCAGTGACGGCACTCGTAACGTCTTTTCTAACGCTGTGCAGTCCAGTGCGCTCGTTTCCTCACGGAGAACTGGGCGAGGAATCGATTAGGGAACCGACTACGTAGCGGGCTAACATCAAGTATGAATAAGGCTCTAGTAAAAAAAATAAAAAAAAATAAAAAGGTCTTCAGATGGAAAATGGAAGAGTGCTTTGATGGCTGAAAGATCATTGTGTGCATCATGAAACGCCTAACAGGTGTCACACTGACCTGACCTACTGCCTCAAGGCACTTTGTTCTTCTTATGATTCAAAGACCATGTGATCGATCGGATTGCCGTGCTCTCTGGTCCAGTTCGGACAGTTTGGGCTGTTAGTTCCAGACACCAGCTCTCCGTGCACAGTAAGCTAATACTCACTCTGATACTTTTCAAACATGGATCTCACTCACATCAGAGCAGTTTAGCATTTTCTTGAAGCCTTACAGCCCGACCCATGACGGGTTCCATTATCACAAGGTGTTCTGCACCTCAGCTGTCGCTGGGTTTAGTTCTAACGGATCAAAATGGCACTACGGGGCTATCATATGGCATAGGGCCGTTTACCAGCGGCCCTAGTGGGGGTCTCTGTAGGCCATGCAGCATGTGGGAGACCTGCAGAGCCCTTACCTTGTTACAGTGACGGCCGATGCCCATGAGAAAGTTGTCTGGTTTGATGTCTCTGTGAATGAAGTTCTTTGTGTGTACATATTCAATTCTGCTGATCATCTGGAGGCAGAGCAGAACAGAAACAAGGGACAGGCAGTTACACTTTTAAAAAAAAAAAGAAGAAAAATACTCACAAATATCAAAAACATTTTAACTTGATACGATTTCTCAGCTAAAAGACACGGTGGCATCAGTATGAAGGCAGTGCATTATACACTACTTATACGATAGACTGTAAAGCTGCTGGCTCCGACTCGGCGTCACCCTAATATCTATTTAATGGATACTCTGTCAGGATGGAAAGCGACTGAGTGCATAACGGCGTTACCTGGTCTGCCAGCATAAGGACAGTTTTCATTGTGAAGCGGCGGGAGCAGAAGTTAAACAGGTCTTCCAGACTGGGTCCGAGCAGGTCCATGACTAGGACATTGTAGTCTTTCTCTTGGCCATACCACCTGATGACAAAACAACAACAACAAATGTAAAAAAAACTGTCTTTGTGAAGCTAAACATGATCTCAGCCACAGTTGGAACACCGTCTCCCAGAGGTAGGTCTCCGCCCTCTGGGAGGAAGGAAAGATATTCCTGATTTGTTCGCTAATGCATAAAGACAACAGCAGAAATCAAGTAAACACAGAGCAGAACACACAGCAGACACACGGGGTTCAGCAGACTGAAGTATCCAGTCCAAGTTAGAGGGGAAATGGCACATCTCACTGGGCCCATTAAGCTGTGCACTCGGACAACTCTCCTAGCATCTTTCACCCGTGCTTGGCGTCTTAAAGACGCCGTGCCCTAATCAGAACTGACACCCCAAACAGAGGATGACCGGCTTTCGACAGGTTGTGCCGGCCTGGTGGACTCTGGGTGACACCAGTGCGGTTGGTCAGAGTGGAGAGTTCCCCCCAGGGAACCCATGCTAATACCTTCTTACCCAGAAGTGGATCACCTCCAAATCCAATTCCACTCTTGTACTTCTACTGATGTCCCGATGCACAGCAAAAGGTGACTTCTAATCATTTCTAAGTCTGGGCCTATCGTTTTGGTTTTGTAACCAAGATCCAAACTTATTGAAGTACCTGATGCAGAGCCCTGATGGCAGATTTCTACGAACCCCTTTCTTCTGACGAAAGGGGTGCATTCCAAAGTCTGTGGACTGAACGAGGCCACCGAGTCTTCGGTACATGGTGTCCCGTTGGCCCTCCACATTTCTTCCACCACCATTCACAGAAGCAAAAACATTTTCTCTTCAAGTGGTCCTCAAGGGCTGATCGGGTTTACAAATTGGTGTGCAGACATGTTCCGGGATGCAGGTTATGCCCCATCAAATTTGCAGCTCGTCTCAGATCAGTGAGCATCACACACACACACTTCTATTTTGGCACATTAATCTATTCTACTGGTACAACTATAGCCCGTCTGCTTAGAATAGCCTCTGCCTCCCACCTCAATACATTGATTTGTCTGATATAAAACAATGATTGAATTACGGTTATATTCAAATGAGTTTAAATGTAGTCAGCATGAATTGATGTGCACCTATTTGACAAAAGTCCCAAAAAGAGTGTAATACATGATCCCTGAAAATGATGGAAACAGCCCACCTAGAAAGTGGTTTTAGCAAACTGCAGTGTAGTTTACACCGCTATAGCGTAGAGTTGCTCACATGTAGACATGTAAATGACTTATTACTTATCAAAAGACTTGCAGAGCTTCAGTCTGCAGCTGCTCACTATCAGGAAAGAGCCACCCTGGGAAGCAATAGAAGGGATTATAAAACTGCTTCAACAGGTCAACTGTGTCTGAAACGTGGAACAAGTCATAGCTCAATGAGATGGTTAAAAAAAAAAAGGGAAACATACAGGTCAACCAGTATAGACACCAAAGGTTCAGGACAAAAAAAGGCAAAGCAATATGTCCAAAACTAGAGACTGGACATTTGATCCTATAATCAACTACAGTCCTGCACTGACCTTTACAGGACAATTAGCACCGCTTCTTTATGCGAGCCAGAAGGGTGGGGTTAGTGGAGCAAACGGCAAAAACTATTAGATGTAAAGGGGGGGGGTTACCGAAACTATGACGGGTGGTGACTGGATAAGTAGAAGGCCAGGATGTGAGAACATAGGAGTGGCAGCAAGACCAACAGGTTGGGCAAGCTCCAACACGACTGGGTTGCAACATCAAGGAAGCACGAGCACACCTCCACAGGCAACAGAAAGGTTTGGAATGGAAAGGGCAATTAGACAGACTTTATCAGTCTCCCAGGGAATGATTCAAGAATTCCTCTGCTATTTCAGATACAGATACACACAAACATTTGTAAACGGAAATGTTTTTAAGGTTGGACAGATTGTCTTTATGGTCTCTGCATGTATAATTTATGTGGAGTATTGATCAGCTTTCCCTGATAATGCTTTGAAAGTTCAAAGCAACAGAAAAAAAAAAAACTTGAGAAACATGAGGAATTGTTTCTCAGATGTAGCTAAATGCCACTTTAGTCTGAGTGTTCGCACGAGATGAAAAAGAGAAAAATTATTTCCGAGAATTGTTCCATAAAGTGACAAAAATACCAGCATTACGTGGTTCTTTCATTTTCAATCGGTGGCATTTACAAGTGGCTGCTGACTGAGGAAAGGAATGCCATCACTAACAGACTGAGATGTGAAAGTGACACTCCTTATGAGTTTTAGTGCATCCCAGAAGCACCACTTGAGCTGTGGCTGACTGGATACTGCAGGTATGAAAGTGTGTACACGTCCACACAAGCTCCTGACCAGAAATCAGTAAGCCCTTCCACAAAAGCGTTGGAGCTAATGGAACCTAGAGAGGATTGTCGTTAATGTCAACCTGCTGCTGCTCCTCTGCTGGGCATTGACGTGTCAAACGTGACAGCAACATCTGGGTCGTTAAACACACCAGGTTAAGGCAGAATTAGCAGGGTGGGGAGAGGTGTGTCAACCCACCGTTCCCCCTTTCCTGACCAGCCCAGATCAACTCTACTCTCACACCTGACAGAACTACAAAAGATGCATCGGTGTCGCCATGAATTGCAATGACTGGTCAGAAATTCCGAGGCCACTCGGAAAGGGATCGGGACTTGCTGGGTTTGGGAGTGGCTCTGTGCACACAACCACAAAATGGATTTTTAAAAAGACCTGCAGAAGCTACAGCATTAACACTCACTCTCCCCTATACACTTTGACAGCCATACTCTAACCACAACCGATTAAAAAAAGCAGGAACTGCAACAACTCTTATTTGAAAACTCCGGCTGCAAAGCAGCAAACATTCCTTTGTACAAAGGCATCCTAATCCCAGTAGTTTGCCAAACGTCCCTCCGCTGGGAGGGACCCCGCCATGGCTGCCCCCGGCTCCGGGGAGCCGCTGGAGGCCGGGGCTGCTGGCCGCACCGAGCCCCGGACCGACGCGCGACCTCCGGGATGCGGGACCGCGTCCGAGCCCGGCTCGACCGGCTGCCTTCACCGAGAACCGGCATGTGTATCCGATACGCCGTTACGAGGGCGAAACTATGCAGCACAGAGAGCGAAATGGCGTCGTCCGAGGCGCGCGAGCGAGCACCCGCGGAGTTTAGCCTGTTTGCGCTCGCTCCTCTCGCTCCGCCGCCATTTTCTAGCAGGCGGAGAGGAAGACATGTTGGGAGCTAGCACAACAAAAGAGGAGCGGCCATTTCCATCCACACAGCTTCTACCTCGCCCTGGCAGCTGCTATTCTGGATCAAAGTGTACAGCCGAGGCACACCGAGGGGCTGACAGCCACAAACCCCGAGTCCAGTGGAAACACCACCGAAGTCTATTCTCGCGGAGTGAATGAGTAATATTAAGCCGATTAGTCAGCCTAATACCAACGAGACCGCTGCCACTTCACGGTTGGCACTGTGTGTCCCAGAGGAAACGGTCGCACACGTACATAACCACACTTTACCTCCACGGGTTTTTTTATTTTTATTTACCTGATGTGTGGAATCCCGACGCCTCCTTGTAGGATCTTGTAGAGCTTGCTTTCATATAACAACTGTGGGTGTCTGGCTTTCTGTGATTCCAACTTAACAGCTACCTCCTGCAAATTACACAAAAACATGGCATGTATTTCGGAATATATGAACAGCTTTCGTTGTCACCGCGAGGTTTAGCCGGACACACATTTTATAGCACAGACTAAGTGAACTTAAGGCCACGGAATTGACCTTTTGCGGTTAGAAAACGCAAGATAAACTACGTTAAAAAAAAGACCGACTGGGGCCTTGCTAACCTCCGTAGCCTACTGTATATGTCCAGCATAATTCAACACAGCCACCAAAGTATTGTCCCCCCCACGTAAGAGCCCAGATTGACAAACTATAATTACCTCTCCATTTGTGATGTTGATCGCCAAATATATGTCGCCGAAAGATCCGGATCCGATTTTTCTCACCAGCTTGTATTTTCCACCGACTATGAATTCGGCTTTGGAGCCACTGCTGCTCGCCATAATATCCACCAAAGGACGAGTTTCAACTGATCAGCTCTGGGAAACGTTGTGTAGCCGATAATCAGCAGGACACAGAGCGGCGAATGTCGTTGGTAGGTGGACTCAGGACTAGCTGTTACTTCAAACAATGTTGTCGACGAGGGGGGAACAGAAAAAATTTCGGAAGATGTCTTTTTGGGTTATTCGACGATGTCATAAGTTACCGACTACAAGGATGTTCAATGCAGTCCCCCAAAGAAGCAACAAATGCCGCGTCGATGTCAGAGTTTATACATCCAAAACTAAATCCGAACAAGCTTAAGGCCTCAAACAACAACCGACGTTAGCGGCTAATGTTAGTCAGATCTAACGTTAGCATCGAGCTGTCGCGGCAGAAAAAAGTCCCGACCTCCTCCCGCCAGAGAAGCAAAAATCACTCTTCAGATGGTTTAGTTGATCGTACAATCCTTAAAGAGCGTTTTTGCTTAACTTTAAGGGTCGCAAACGTTCTTACAAAGCGCAACCCACTCACTCCGCCATCTTGTCTTCTCTACCCTTTCTCAGCTGGTTTCCGTTGAAGGCGATTAGTTGAGGTGAGGTATCCCATGAGGCATTCGGGAAATATGGGAAATCATAGAACCAAAAGGACGACGGCAAATGCAAAGTGAAGGAAACACTTTGTAAATAGCTGTCACGAGTCGTCAGCCGCAAAGCTTTATGCCGGAAAGGTTGAAACATTTGAAACCACATTGCTTTGAAATCTCCACGTGTTTACGCATTTTAGCACGCGGACGGACAACTCGACCTGTCCACAAACGCAAAAATCACCAAGGATATCTCTCAACCTAGTCGGTGGTGTTCACTTTTTAGATTGTTCCCAAAGGCTTTGAACGCACAAGCTGATTTAGATGGGATTTATTTGCCAGCAATGTTTTTGGTGGAGTTTATTTTCTTTAATATATTTTCTAAATCATTTGTCAGCGGTGCACGGACATCAATGAAATGAGTACATCTCACGTGTGAATATCGTTCGACTCTAAATAATTCCATCAAACGCTTACCCGAATTATCGACATGTCAAGTGATGCAACCACGACTTTTGTGAAAACTGACTCGACACACAAATCAGAAATACTTTATATTTATCTCGAACAAAACTGTTCACGTGAATGCATCCATTTCTTACATATGTGCAATTTGTTGGAGAGACCTATCAAAATGTCACGCGATTGAATAAAAAATATGTTTACAACTTCTATTTCATAATTCTTCTTCTGCTTCATAATTCTAACTTTAGTATTGTTATTTTATGTAAGCCACTTGCATATAATTGGATTTATTTTTCTTACTTGTTTTCAATTGTCTTGTTACTATTCACAAATTTCCATGGCCACAAACAAGACAATGGTCAAAACAGATTATTTTCTTATTGCACAGAGAATTCATGGAAAGTCAAAATGAGAGTTTATCTGATGTTTATGATGACTTGATTTAACAACAAGCACCATGACACCCTACAAGGGATACCTGCGGAGAAAGAAAAAGTTACGATAAAGTAACAGACGGCTCCACTACTTACTCGGCCCCGTACAGGTCCACAATACTCAGTTTAGGCCTTTTTCAATTATATATAAATGCCAAACAGAAAGGTGGACCAGAAGGCCCATGACCTCACTGACATGTGAAACAAGCATAAGACAACAATGAAGAAGATCGGGGAAACCATAGACCAACTAAACCTCAGTGTTGGGCATTGCTGTTAGTTGTATAAGCCGTTTACAAAATTGTTAAATGATCAGAAAAATAAAGACATCGAACATTTGTTGTAGAGCCGTGTCGGGCTGAGGAGCTACTGGTGGAAAAGCACCAAGAGAGGGGCCTGATAACAAAATCCTCGCCTCCCATTCCACTTTTAGAAACTCCAGGAACCACAAGTCGACCTGCAGTCTGAGAACAAATAGCTACTGGGAAGAATCCAGCTATGAGCTCTTTGAGATATGGTGAAGCTTGCTCATTAATAGTTTGATTTGTGAAGAGCAGAACTTTATTTCTGAATTTAACAGGAACCCGATGAAGAGAAGTTGCAACTGGAGAAATCCAATCCCTGCTGCTGGATCTCAACTGAAAGAAACCTGGGATTGATCTGTTCCTAGTGATGAATAATGCACATACAATCCCTTATTGCCTCTGTTTTATTGCAACACTCATGACCCTTGTACAACACATGGGCCTTAACATTTCCAGATCTATGTTCCTTTTTTACATCACAACATTTAGTTTAGTCCTTAAAGAGCCCATCTGTCAGTATACTTTCAAACAAAGCACAGTTCTCCCTAAACAGTCCTTTGAATGGTGACTCATACTGTCCTGTACCTCCTGACAACTTTTTTCCACACTATGATTCACATTACGTTAGACACAGTACCATACTGGTTCAAATCCCATCATTAACATGTTATGAATCCACTCACAAATACAGAATATCTTAAAATGTAAATAGTTTCAGCTGCTTTAACAGAGAACAGAGAGTCTGCATGGAAACTTGTTCTACATATTCTTAAATGGCACAGAGATTTATATGACAAATCATATGAATAGATTGCAAAATAAATTAACATACGGTACATATTTGGAGTACATGTATCCAAATGTCTGAACCAAATGATCCTAAAATGTGCATTCACACACTTTAATATGGCAGGAAACCTGTATTCTTTCCCCCTGCTGTAGAATCAGGTTTGAGCTAACACATAGTTAAATTAAGCAGAAAAAAACTCTTACAACAATATTTATTTAAATGGATACTGAAATGATTTGTGGTTAATGCCTGCTTTACCAGCTGGTTTAAGTAAGTGACAGAATAAGTGAGGATAGGAGTTTCCTGTTTCTCTCCCAGATTGTCTCTGAGAATTGGTGACCACCAGTAACCAGGTTCAAGTGGAAGAGTTCGGCCCCCTCCCCTCTGTCCGTGCATCCATTTTCTGTACCGCTTATTCCTAGTGGGGTCGCGGTGGGGCTGGAGCTTATCCCAGTTGACGTCACAGGGCAAGAGGCGGGATACGCTTTGGACAGGTCCAGTCCATCGCAGGGCTAACCCCAAATTCTGAACATTAAAATGAGTCAAAGGGTTATTGGTGACGGCGTCTGGGACTCAGCATGAACTCGTGTAAATAATAGTACATCTTGCTCCAGGCTTAATCTCATAATATTTAAGGTTGTCCATCGTATTTATTTGACCAATTCTAAACTTTCCAAAATTGATCCCAATATCGCAGACGCATGCAATAGGTGTCACATGTCACCAGCAAACATGATGCAAGATTACTGGACGGCTGTTTTCAAACATCTTGGAGAAGCACTAAATGTGAAATTGACACCTTGTCCTGAATTGGCTATTTTTGGATTAATAGACCATCAAAAAATTAAGGAAAAGTTCAAGAATAGTATTGCTTTTGCTTCTCTATTAGCGCGGAGAAGAATTGTGTTGGAATGGAAGGCACCAGGTGCCCCAAAAGCTTCACTGTGGCTTAAAGATCTCATGCCGTACTTAGATCTGGAGAAAATTAAATATGATCTGAGGGGGGCACCTGGAAAATTTGATGCAGTTTGGGGCTGCATGATTAGCTAGATAGCTAGATTGAAGACACTGCCGGACGGGTGAGGCGTCCACTTTTGAAACCTGACTTTTGATTGCATTTTCCTTTCCTCCCTGCTTCATCTCGGCCCATTGAAAATGTTACTTCTCAGTTTTGTTTTGTGGTGTTTTCTGTTTATTTATTTGTGTTGTACTTGCTGCTCTCTCTTTTTTAATTGTCTATATACTTTTTTAAAAATTTATTTATTTTTTATTATTCACATGTTCTTGTACCGTAAGAAGGAATCTTGTAGGATTGGGGGAGGGCTGGGGAAGGGAGGGGGTCAGGGGTTGTTGTTTTTGTAAAAATGAAAAAAAAAATCGTTATTTTCATTGTTTGTACTTGACCTTGTCACATGAATAAAAACATGAATAAAAAAAAATTTGTCAAAATAAACTGTATGTCAGCTCTTGCAGAGATGATTAAGTCAGACACTGACTTGGGGGGGGGATCTCTGTCTAGCAGACCTCAGCAGGGGAGGAGCAGGGCAACATTGGTAATCTAGTGTTAATTCCTTAGCATGTCCATATACAGAGGGGGAAATGTAGACAAAAGCCAGTTGCTACTGGTGATCGCCATGTTTGGCTTGTGGGAGATGTTCTTTCATTGACTCCTTTTATTTTTGTCAGTCAATGTTTGCACAATGGAGGTGTCCTATGATGGCCAAACGGAGTTTGTTGAGCCCATCCTTTCCTTGAATGTATCCATCCATAGTTGATTTGTTTTTGGTTTGAATTAGAAGTTTTTTTTTTAAGTTTAAATTTAGATCTGAAAACAAGAAAATATGCCATGAGGGCAATCTAAGTCTAAATTTGACAGCCAAGGCAATGTGCGTATATCAGCTCTTAATGAATTAGCATTAGGCCTAAACTGTATATTTTCTCTTCCTATCAAACCACCTAAAACTCTTCATGACATGCTTCAAGTGCAACGTAACTGTTTGAATAACGTGCGAATAAATCCAGGTGTGAATACACAACTTTATTTTCACTGTCCGCCACATCTTTTCACCATTGCATAAATTGAGGTGATAACTATAACAGGTTAAAAAAAGTGATACAACCACAGGTTAGGCACTTTATTTATATAAAGATATGCGTATGAATAAGGCACACGCAGTTTCAGAAACTGAAGCCATATGGCGTTAACAAGCCCCAAAAGACTCGGCTCGCTATTTTCTGTGACAAACTACAAGTAAATGGATAAGGACACACACATGATGTGTGCGGTCTTAGATACGTGTTCCACTGTGTAGTGATCTCCCCACACGAGACAGAAAGAAACCACCAAAAACCGGTACACCAAAACAAAAGGAGATCTCAAACGTAAGCTATAAAGGAGGCAAACAAGTTAATGGATGACTTTGGATGATAAAAGCCGGCAGAGAAGAAAAGTTGAACTTTGATATGGTGTTACATGCTGACAGACTCTGTTCTGGCGTGTTCAGCTCTGCCACTAAATAAAGTTTATCTGCAGCAGATTCCATCACACAGCGTTCTTTCCCTATTGCCTGCTGAATACACAAACATTTTTCACCAGATTAAATTATAATGCTTTGTTAAACTGATAAAGGTGAATATTTAAGCATTTTTTGCTTAAATAGGCATACTTTATAGCTCTTATCATAAGTATGTCCCAGACAAGGAGGGGAATTCACAAGAGGTAATAAAAATAAAGAAAGGACTAGTTTCTTTGGTACTGTAAACTTAACTAGGACTTTTTACCCCCGTGAATAATGAAAACGTCATTTTTTAAAAACTTGTTTTTTTCCACAAACATGTACACAAACATATACAAAAATCCATCCTTGTCCCAGTTCCCAATTTACAGCTCTTGATCTATTTGAACATTAAAATGGACTATATACAGTATATATTAAACTTCTCTTATTCCAAATCTGGTACAAATCTTTTGGGAACTATCAATGAAGGAGAAAAAAACAAAACCAAGAGCAGACATCACAGACACCTTTCCCTCAATATGAGGGAAATTCCCTCATATTTCCCTTTAACCCCATTAAGAAACGCTGCCATCGGCTGACTACATAACCTAATTCAGTTTGAATCGGTTACTTCGAGTTTACCTTTCAGTTAAGGAGAAAGACACATTTCCAGCTATTTATCCAGGGTAATTTAACTGTGCTACTGTTATCAGAGCTATAAACTGAAAATAGGTCAACCCAAGAACATTTGATCTTAGCGAAAGCATCTGATATCAGAG